GAATTGCAAATGGAAACCTACTGGCAGCCAGTGTAGCTTGCAGAGCAGGAATGTCATATGGGTGTCCCATGACTGGCCCATAACTGTTTGTGCTGAGGCATTCTGGCCAGTTCTAGCTTCTGAGTGATCTTCAAGTGCAGCCCTAGTTAGAGCTTATTTCAATAATCCAATAGTGAGGTGACCAAAGCAGAGTGACAATCTTTAGGGCCTCCTGGTCTAGGTATGGACACAACTAGTATACTAGATGAATTTGTACAAAGGCCCTCTTGGCTATAGCTGTCACCTGTACTTGAGGAAGAGCTGCAAATCCAAGATGAACTCCAAGTTGTGCATCAGTCTAAAAGGGAAGTGCAGTCCCATTCAGGACCAAAGATGGAACCACTCCAGAAGGGGGAGATGTGAGAAAATGTGAAACTAGGCTGAAACTGACAATTGTGGACATAACCCAAACATGAACCAAGCATGTACACAATGAGGGTAAAAGCCAGGAGTCTTGTCAAAAATAGTCCTTTAGAAAATAGATAAAGTTATGTGAAAGAAATGTCACCAGAAAACAGACAAAAGAGTCTGGGCATGGAGGGCAAGGAAACACCAATTCCATCAACAGCTACCAGAGTTGCAGATCAATAAGATGAGGATTTGGGGGATAAAAATCTGTGTATTCTGTTAGAATCTTGAGTGCCTCAGCTTTCAGTTGAAAGTTATTTGCAAATGTTCTAATTATTTCCCTGCTGTTGACCTGGTCTGTGTGTCTCATATGTTGTAGCCACACCTATCTGGACCACCCAGGTAGAGAGCAAGTGGGGATAGAGAATCCACATGCCTTGACTGTTGAATAGGAGAGGTGAGCATTGAGCCCCAAGGCATCCCACATAAGAGGAGTTTCTGGCTTGATTTCTCCCCCCACCCTGGCCAAGACTGGGTGGACCTGCCCACAAAGAAAGGAGAACCTCTGAAGCACCAGGCCCCTTGCTCCTTATCCAGAAGGATACCATGGTCAATGGTATTGAAAGCAACTGAGAGATCAAGTAGAACTAGTTTTGAGCAGCCCCATGATTTTCATGGAGACCACGAAATCCCAGACAAAGCAATCCCTATGAAATCCCCATGAACCACAGCAGAGTAGAGACTATCCTGGCAGTGGAGTGGGTGGTACACCGACTACATCCCCTTTCTGCCTTTGTGATTCAACACCAGGAACAGACTCTGAAGTCTTGCACCAGATCAGAAGAGTCTCCTGGTAACAACCCTGGAAGCTCTGTGGGCTACAGACACTCCATCCCCACCCCATGCATGACAATCTGTTTGGGAGTTGTACTAAGTACCCAAAAAAACAAGCAAACAAACAAACCCAGAGCTGGATCAGACTGAGGCCAACCAGCTCACATACAGAAAACTCAATAATGAGATGGTTGGCCACTCAGCCACAATTAAACCATGTCTGATTTTTTTGCTTTTGAACCAACCACCACCAAAACAGAAAGCAGGCTGACACAGCAATCTGGATTCTGATGTTTGTAGGGCTGTCTCATTAGTGGGACTGCTAAGCAGCCATTTTTTTTTCATCAACTGACTCAGCACCATATTTCTTCTGTTTCAATACAACTAATTGCAAGGACAGAATTTGTAGACAAACTAAAACCTTTAATTCCCTTGATCACTCTGAGCCAACCTCTTCTTTTCATCACACTCAAGATGTCAGGCTTTTACCTTGGCCCCAGATATTAGGAAAGCCCACATTCTCATCCTGGGGTGCCACACCATTAAGATGGGGCAAATCCAAGGGGCAAGATTACAAAGAAAGAAATGTATGAAAATGTCTCTGCAAAACTCTGCCATTCCTAAATGAAGTAAAAAATCCCTAACGATCTCAGTGCCAATATATTTCACGTTTCTCAAACATAGATCTGGGTATCCTGCTTATTTCTACCTGCACTGACAGCCACAGGAAGACTGAGCCTTTATGGTTATTTGAGGGGAGGGAAGTTGAAGCTGCTATTCAGAAGCTGCAGGTGGAAACAATAACCAAGCATGCAGCTCTCAATGAATTATTTAAACAATTTCTCCCACACAGCTTTGCAGCTAAATAAATGTTAATAATTTAATACAATAAAAAAAATAAAGTCATGTACACTACTTCAGTGTATAAAATGATTTTACCTGGTTTCTGTTTAAGATGATACAAAGCAAAATGAATGGAAGTGTACTGTGCCTAAGTTGGCTTGGTGAATGCATAAGAAGGCATAAGAAACCCAGGAATGGGTAATTAATATCATCAACACTCAGAAGAAAAAAACCCCCTTTTTCTATTGTGCTCCCATGATTTTTGGGGAGTAATGGGAATCTGTTAACCTACCATGTCTTCTGACCATGCTTAGTCCTCATGACAGCAGGCCATCCACAATGGGGAAGGGCGGGGAATCAGAAGATGCAGTACATGTCAAAAAGAGGCTGATCTTCCATCACACACTTGTGGCCACCATCATGGTTTTTTTGATGCCCCTGCAGATGTCCCTACATTACAATGTTTTTTCCTTGTGCTTAAAAGGATTTCTTAAAGCCTTGTACTTTGGCATTTCCTTCAGCTTACTGTTATCTTCTCTGCATGGCTGTTTTTGCTACGTTAAGGACTAGCATATGTTTTACACAGAGAACTTTCTGAGGGACACTGGTTGGATTGCTTCCATTCATTCAGGGGGTCCATATTTAGCACAGCATATATGTCCTAATGCAATCAAGGTCATGCAGAGTTTCTACAGGCAGATGCAAAAGGTCCACCTTATCTTAAAAAATTTTAATTGATTAAGAAGTGACCTGCTGTCATAAAAGCCTGCCATCTTCACCTTTCTTTCCTCCTGGTGTGGGAAAAGAAAAAGAAGAAAGTACTATAGCCCTTGTCATCCTGTAGGAAGCAGGAAGTTTCATCACCAACAATTTGTACCATTATATACTGTAAATTCAGAGAACTTGTTTAAGCACAGTAAAAATTAGCTGTGCGTGGCTTATTATGAGAAACAAGTAATGTTAAAAAATTATGGATGAATATTGCTTTCAAAGCAAGAATTAAAAAGGAATTCAGTACAATAAGCTGTTTAGTTTAGCAATTTTTCATTAGAAATGGTCAGTGGAGGATATAATTGACTTGATATTTCATATGTCATCAATTGGATGATTATTACCTTTACCTGCTCTTACAAAGTTTCTGATATACCGATAAAAAGAATTTATTTTTTACAATCTTTTCTTTTCTTTTTTTTGAGATTTCTAACATATCATTTCATTTTACAGGCAACTGCAGACAAAAAAGAAACAAAAATATCAGCATGTCTCCCTTTCCATAAATGAATAAAGATTGTTCTAGATATGTCCACCAAATTCCAAACCATCTTTGTTTTAACGATAGCAGTGTCATTTAGAGCAGGAGTTCTTAAAATGTGAGTTGGGAGCTTTCAAGGTGTTGTTAGCAGCTGGCAAGGGTGTGTGAAGAGCCTTGATTTTTTTTCAAAAAAAGCCAATGAGCCTTGCACAGGTACAGTGGACATGGTAAACTTGTTCCAGGTTACAATGGAATAAAATAACTCCTGTCTCCTGTTTCACTGAAAAGAGTAGGTTTTCTGTCAAGATTGGGTCACGATACAAGGGAATGATAACTTTTTTGTTTCAGGCAACAGCAAATGTGCACACAAGGATCATGACAGTTTGTTGTACTGCCTGGGCTTTGTTACGTTAATTTAAAATCTGCCAGTTAGATACAAATATTAAGGAGTTTGAATCTGGGAATATTTATGATGTGTAAAAGGGTTGTACATATTTGTTGGAGTAAAAATGGGGTGGATATTTGGACAGAGGAGGAATTTCTCACAGAATCAATAAAATTTAATGTTTGCCTACTGATTGTATAACTAGCTTATTTTAGATTGTGTACCAATAACCCCCTTGAAACACTGCAGATTCATTAGAACTGCTGAGCAGCAAAACCGTTCAAAAAAGTAAGACTGATTTATTTTTACAATTTTTTCTTGAAATGCTGTGGCAAACGTTTCACAGTTAAGAATGTGTAAGTCTCTCTGTGTGCAAGAATATTAGTTCCTTACCTGGTCAATAGATTATGAAGAGGCCCAATTTAATAGTATTGAATTATTACCCAGATCACCCATTTGTTTCTTGGTTGAATCTGATTGTACCAGCTTCCACATCTGAACTGTTCCTTATATGGATTTTACTAATTCCTGCAGTAATGTGATTCATTATTTCTCACTTGCAACTTTGGGGAGATCTTGTTTGGGCATAAAGCCAGGTAATAAGTTATTATAACATTAATCTTAAAATAAAAGTAAAAATCCTCAACCCTACAAGCATGTAACAGAATCTGTCCTCCCATACCTTATTAACTGGTTAAATAGGAATTGGACAATGAAAATATAATGTTTGTTCAATGGAGAAAAAAAACCTGTTTCTTTCTAGAAATACAGCTCTGGACTAGATTTTTCAGTCTTCATAAATGACTCAGACCGAGAACAGTGAAGACTATGGGTAGGGTATTATTTGCAAGCTGTATTTAAGTTTTCATTAGTGAATTCAGCTGCAAAACGCTCTGACAGGATTTTTCACTTCTATTTCAGCAGTCTTGCCCTAATATAGGTGATGATGATGATGATGAAGAAGAAAAAGAATAGTTGCTGATGAATGAACCATATTCTGGGAGAAAAGGAAGGAATTACTTAAATAAATTAATTTCTGTTGGGGAAGTTCTTTTACTTAGAATTATCTTAAGATCTAAACCACTGCAAAAATACACTGCAGTGTATTATTTTCATACTAAATGTAATCAGTCTATAATACTATAATAATCATTTAAAATTACATAATTAATTCAGATTTCTTTACTTCTTAGGGTTTAAAGAATTTAAAAAAATGAACATACAGCAAGGAGATAATTGTTTATTTTTGTTATTTTCTAAAGTACTTATTTATTTCAATTTTATCTTTTGAAGAAAAAAATGGCTGTTCACCTCCAGGAAGAAAAATCTAATATTTTACCCGACTTTCTGAATTTGAATGATTTAGGATGCAACTCTACTGGAGGAAAGGTACGCTCAGTGCAATTCATTAAAACGAGTATGAGTTAGAAAAACAGGAATGTCATAAATGGAATACTCTCACTCCCAATTTTCCACACAGTAACCAAAGCAGTAATAGGCACCCTAGTACCATCCAGATGTTTTGGATTTCAGCTCCCATGTGCTGGAGAAAGCATGGCAAAGAGCAGTGGTAAATCTCATGGACACCCAATTGTCTACCCTGCCTTTACTCTTTAGAAATGAAATAGCTATTTTGATATTGGAGCCTGCTCATTTGAAAGTATTTCAATATAAGTAATAATAACAATGAATTGTTGGTTCTAGAAAGCATTTTCAAATAAATGTGCTATATAAAACAGGACACAGCTCTTAACTGAAGGTTTATAATCCACCAAAACAAATCCTATAACATGCACATAGACACTCATGGTAAAAAAAAAAAAAAATCCAATGTGCACACATTCACCATAGAAAGATGATACTGAAAACATACATATATAAATCTAAGTAATAATAAATATGGCTCTTTGCTTATAGACTACATTTGGCCCTTCATACTTTGCAGAAGCAAAAAAGAAGGAGGATGTACCAAGGGATCAGATTAGTTACTATTCTGGTTAACTCCAATGCTCTATGTAAAATAAAATTAGCAATCATTTTGCAACTGCTGTTATAATTCCTATTTTGTTTTATTTTTATAAAGATTTTATTTGCAACAGATGATTTCTTTGCTCCTGCAGAAAATCTCTTGAAGGTATGCTCTTTTCTGGAGTATGAATGGGCTGTGGTAAAGGTTATTAGAGGAAGTTAATAAAAATCAGGAATTGCATTTCAGGTGTTTATACATTCTTCACTTTTCAAGTAACTGGTATGAGGACTAGTTTCTTTCTTGGGCAATCCAAAGGAAAGCACTGTAGGGATTAGCTTCCTTGGGATGAAATGGTGTTGGAGAATTATGGTAGTCCAATATGTTTCTATAACGAGTATGTAGTACTCCTTCATGTGATGCACAATTGCTGAGTCTGAAAGGGGCCCACGCGCACAGGAATATACTTCTGTGCAAAAAGAAATTGTAATTCATTGTCCCACGAACAGCCTTTGGACAGGCATTAGTTTTCTTTAGATTGAGGCCCGAAATTAGAACATATATGGAAGCACTAAAAAGTCTTATTTCAATGTTTATTAACTATTAGGCAGTGAGGGGTTCTTCTCTTATGGAAATAAGATTTCTATAACTTTCAGAGTCTGTCAACTTGCTCAGAATACTGTAAGATGTTATAATGCAAAGCCAATTTTAGCCATCTTCATTGGTTATATTTTTCTAGAAACAAAGACCATGCTGATCTATTCACTGACTGGAAATGAAGAGATGGATGGGAGACCAGGAGAAAGCGTATTCCAGGTAACACAGGGGAGAAGAACTTCTGCTCAGCATCTTTGTTAGAATATTCCATAGCTATTAAGAATATATTATCTCGAGGGGGGTGGAGCTGGCGTCGCGGCGATACGGCGGGGATGTGTCGCCTCGCCCC